TTTTTTGTATCTCTAAGTCTTATGAGGCATCTCCTTTTAAAAATGCTTTATTGGTTTGACATCTCTGTTTATAGGTTTTTGTCTTTCCGTTTTCTAAAATTTGTTTCTTCTTCAAATGTCTTCTACGTCAATCTTCTATGTTTTTTTGTTTCTCTCTTTTGTGTCCTTCTGTTTTTCTTTCTGTGTGCCAGTCTATAATAAAATGTTCCATTGAGTAGTCGGCCGCTTGAAAGGTAAATAATGCAAAACAAACCCATGGCGTCTCGGTTTGTTTGGGGCTCAGCGTCTTGCTCTAGGACACGTGGACAGTAGGAGCTGATGATCATACAATCAATCCTTTGATTAAATACTGACGCAATATTGAGTCACAGCGCTCCAAATACAACCTTAAATATCATCAGAACATATTTTTCAAATTCTTTGTCAGATCAAATGCTTGAAGGGTTTCCAACAAAGTGAATTCCATGTTGCTTATTTGTTTCCATGACCTGTTTTCCACTCTTTTGCACACAAACAGGCGTTGGCCTCAATTCCTTAAATATGCCATGCGTTTGTTCTCATGTTTTTATTCCCATCACTCTATGGCGAGCCAAGTGACAAACTCATTCAAATAAAAAACATTTAATAATACATTTGATGTGAAATGAATAAAAACTGGCACTGAAGAGACTACCGAATAAACTCAATGAGAAATTCTGATAAAATCAAACGAAGTGAGTTATCGCAGATTTCTGGGCAGAGTTTAGGAAGGCCTGGCAAACTGCAACAAGAAATGTAACCAAAACAAGGGAGGAACTGGGGTCTGGGTCTCCTAAAGACTGAACAGATGCATGAGTGGTGCAGTCGGGACGTCCTGTTGTCGGCCCAGAAGTGAGCGTTGCAAGGGCTCCCTCGACAAAAAGCAATGGGTTGCAGAAAATAATCTTTGTGGCAAACACGTTTATGATACTTACATGTTTTATTTAGCAGGATAATTTCTATATATTAACTATTAATCTGCACAGAATTACGCTGCTAAAAAAAACTACAGCACGTTCATCTGACTTCAAGTCACCACCGCTAAGCTAAAGACGGCTATTGTTTGGTGTGATGACGTTCAGAAGTCCAATTTGGTCACCTGTTAGCAACTGCTGTTTTTAAGACACATAGACAATACAAGTTTGACACAGACCTTTTTTCAGGCATCTTACCAAAAACACGTTAAAAAAACAGTTTACTTCCAAATGAAGGAACCATGTAGGGTGAAATGCTGATTCGTATGGGTTTTACGACTCATTCCTGCACTAACGGCTCTATAGGACTTAAACTAAGCTTTAAGATGGTACCTAAAAAAATAACTGAAAGGACTTTAAAACCATAGGAAACCAATTCCCAACTACACCAATGAAAAAAAACACTAAGCTTTTCTTCCAGTCTGCAGAAAACCCATTAAATCCATCTGAAAGACTTGGTGTGAATGCATGTCATGAGGGGGGATAGAGACACAAATCCTGGCAGAGAAAGTGGAGGAAAATCCCACGAGAGTTGAGAAAAAAACCCACAAAACTGAGCATCTGTCCTCCTGTCGCAGGTGATTATTCTGGGCGACAGGAGAAGTGCCGCCTCATCATTATGGAGCGAATCCACCGCCACGTGCCAGAAAAACAAGACAAAAAAATCGGGTGCATTTGACCCGGGTTGCGGAGGAGAACGGTTGGTGTTGCTTCAGACACGAGCAAACACTCTGCATCCATCTCACTTTCGTTCAATCGAGCATCTGCTGTTTACATTCAGGATTATTCACCGGTTTGAGGGGCTGAGCAAACTCAATTAAATATGGATTTATGTACTTTAGGGGTTGTTTATCAGGGGGGCGCCGATGGTTGACATTACAGGTAAGAGTGTTAACAAGAGTACATAGTAAATATCTGATGAAATTCAGAAGTGTTGATAGGCAGGAAAATACCTCGTAATGCTAAGAGCTGTAATCTCTACGAGGTTCTGTTTACTCAACAAACATCAGAGCTGTTTAATATGCTTGATATCAGATCTGATGCTAAAGGGAAAAACACAAGGAGATGTAATGAGAAAATAAGTGTTTTAAAAAGGGGATTTGTTCATCAAAGGGAACTCTATTAATAAAACACATTAAAGACTGTTTACAAGTGCATTAGATTGTACAAGTGTACCTAATAAAGTGACACAAAGTGTTTATCAGATTTGTGTCTACAATGTTTAATATACAAGATTATTTTATAGGATGTGATGGCTGTTTTAATGCTTCTTGTTTTATTGTCTGTTTTTATATAAGTTTGAGATGTAGTGACATCACTATGTAACATTGGTGCTACTATTGGCTAGCGCTCTGACAAATTGTACTTGATAGACTAAGGGGCGGGACATCTCTAAGCGGTTGACCAATCACAACAGAGCCGGCCAGCTAACCAATCAGAGCAGACTGGGCTCTGGTTTCAGACAGAGGGTGAAAAGAGGTGCAGCAGCACAGGCAGTATGAGAGCTTTTTCAACATTAAAGCACAGAGAGGTGTCATAATAGGGCCCCTTTAATAAGGACTTCCTATTATAGATTGATTAGATGGTTTTAAGTCAAAGTCAAAAACAACGAGCGGACAATCTTTCTTTTCTATTGCAGCAGCAGATTATGGTAAAACTGCATTCGTTTAATCCATCAATTGGTCTATAAATGTCAAAAACGATTGCAAGAACAGGCTAAAACAAGACTTCCGAGCCAAAATAGTCAGAAAGCCAACGATTTTCAATTTACAACGACATAAAAACTTCACATTGGAGAAACCGGAACCACAGAATTTATGACATTTGTTATTGATAATCTAAACCCTGTAAACCTTCCGTCCTCACCTAATCAACTATTGCACAAATCTTTTCAGCATTAAATTATGTTACATAATAAATTATTGTGCACCAAAAAGAGGCTGATATTGCCTTCAACATTAAAACCACACACACACATTCACACTGTTAAAAGGTCACCAGTCAATAACACTAAGTGCTGTGATTTCCTTTCAGCCTCACCACTTCCACAAACTTCTCCTCTTTGACCCGAGTCTTGATGTTTCAAAGAGTGACTTCAGCACCTCTAAGAAACAACGTGAAGCTTTTTTCCTGTACATAGACAGTGATTATATCATCAAATACGGATTGAAGAGCTTTTCCAGTCGAGGAAAAGTGAGAAAGTTGAGACCTGTAGATCAGTGGTTCCCAAACGGTGTGCCGCGGCACACTGGTGTGCCGTGAGGCAAGTCCGGGTGTGCCGTGGGATTTTGTGACAACCATACGTTATTATTGCAATATACAACTACACAAAAATAATTATTTTTTTATTTACTATATCAGTACTTTGTAGGTTTATATGTACGTAATCTGCGCGACTTGTGCGTCCACATCTCCACGTGCAGTGCTACATAAACATGGCTGAGTCAGCGATAACTTTGAGGGGTGGAGGTATGCCCATTATTTTGAGTTTGTCCGAAGAATAGACAGGAATGTGACGGTGAGGTGCAAACTGTGTCCAGGCCAGAAGCTGTTATCCACTGCTGGAAACACCACGTGGTCAAACCTCAACACACACCTGCAAAGAACACATGCTAAGGTGAAGCTACCGCACACGCTATTTGTTGTTTGTTTATATCACGTCGTCTGTTCTTCTTCTCTGTCTTCCGGTTGTTGCCTGTTTTGAATGACAAATACACACTACCGCCGCCTGCTGGTAAGGAAAGTTATTGCCACTCACGCATGCGCAGTTCGTACGTGCTCGGCGAGTAAAGTAACGAGTAAAGTAACGAGTTACTTTATGTAGATAGTAACGAAGTAGTGTAATATATAACTTTTTTTAAATAATGTGTAATATATTAAAACATTTTAGTAACGACCCCATCTCTGGAGTTGGCGTTCTCTACTCTGATTTACATGAAGAACAACAGGAGGTCACGGCTCTCTGTTGAACAGGACTTGCGAGTGGCCCTCTCCTCAGTGCCACCAAGGATTAAAAAATTCTGCGCGCCCCGACAGGCACATGTATCTCACTAATTTGTAAGTCGGCAAAATATTTACAATAGCACATGTTTCAATGCTGATTGCTGAAATGTTACATTTATAATTTGTAATTCAGGACCATGGACAATGCAGCTTCCTTGCATTGACAGTTCTCTTTGCTGAATTTCTGCTGTGTTTCCTTTGCCTCATTTTTTATTTTGTGACCTGTCTGGTTTAAATGAGTGTGTTGCTGCTTTGATGAAGCCTAATTTGATACAGTTTCAAATTAATTTCTGAAATATTTCGTTAATAAATATTTCATGAGTAATATAGTTGTCTTTGTCACATTTGATTTGGCATTAGTAAATAATTATGCACATTTACAGATATTTTACATGATATGAGTGATAACACGTGTTATAAGGGCTATTTTGCACAATAGGTGTGCCTTGAGATTTTTACTTGTCCTTTGGTGTGCCTTGGGCACAACACGTTTGGGAACCACTGCTGTAGATGCATCTCTTGGTCATTTAAGGCCAGGATGTTTTGCTAACACACACCTGAATAAACAGTTGTGATGATACGTGAAAATACTTGGTGGATTCATCTAAATAAACATGTAAAAACTAGGGTCATCGTTTATGCTCGACATTAATCAGTAAATCTTAAAAACGCAAATGAATTACATTTCGAAGTTTGACCACAACTGCCTTCAATAATTGCACTGCGGATTTTTACCATGAATGTCAGAAAACTGTCAGACTTCATACCAATAATTAAGAAATCATCAAAACTAAGATGAGATGGTATTAGAAAGTAAAAAACCCTCTGATTTCTGTCACCAGTTTGTTATGCATTTCTTTATTTCAATACCACCCCTGTATTTGTTTTATCGCTCATATTATTTTTGTATGCAACGCGATTAAAAGTTTAGATTGCCTAGTAAAAACACTGGATCAAACCTGACTGATGCATCCACTTTAGTACAAAAACATGGCGTCCACCTACCTTTTTCCCAGGGTGCTGAGCGGCGTGCTGAGGCTGAGTGGAGCTCTCACAGGATTGCGGTTTCGCCCGGTGAGTTTGGTGGCGGACGGTTCCTTCTTCGGGGTCAGGGGCACGCGGGCGGGGCTGGGGCAGGGCTTGATGTTCAGGTCCTTCAGGACGTCGTAGTTGATCTTGGAGGAGATCTTCTTCTGCTCCAGCATCTTCCCGATGGCCTCGTCTGCGGTGCTGGCTGAGATCGGAGGGTACTTTCTCTTTGGTCCTTTGGGCTGTCGGGATTTGAAGAAAAAACCAAAGAACACATCAGCTGCTGTGAATGAAGAAGCGTTATCATAATGAGCAAAACATCGGAGATCTAATTGGAGATTAGAAGCCAAATTTCATTTTGATTGAGTAACAGTCTTCTGGACAAACCTGGAGGGGAGGTGTGCTGTACTGCTTCACGTTTTAAGTTTATAGAAATATATTGTTTTATTTGTATTATTTTTAGTTTGACTTTATATATTTAGATACATATTTATTTATTATTTAATATTTTTATTTAATTCCAAAAACGAGCAACTGACACAACATTTAATTTTCCTCCGGGACATATCAAGTATTCTCATTCTGATTTCAAGGCAACTGGATATATAAAATACATTGGATGGAGAAAAAAAGATAATTCATATATTATGACAACATTTTTCAAGCAGAATAAAAATCTTATATATATAATAATTTAATCTGTTTAAAAAGTCCTTTTCCTCCCCAGCTAAAAGATGGATACTACTTCTAAACAATCTCCCACTCTATCCACAGTTAACCCAACATTGTAAAGTCAAGAGAAAGGCCTTGCAGTTGATCCAACTTCAACTTATTCACTCCAATTCCACTCTGCAGACCCGGGTCAAAGGTTATCTCGAAATATATTGTCTTTTTATTAGACCAATTAGGTCGCAGATGGGAAAAGGCTCAACAGAGCAACATCATCTGCAGGCAGCCGAACACATTTCAGTAATCAGCCATTTATCTCAATTAGGGCCGCAGATTGGGGTTATCACCCTGCTTCAGTTATTCCTCATCCACCTTCACCTCGCTGCAAACTCTGCCTACAGATCAGCTCTCTTTACTGGAAACATAAACTTTTAAACACATTTCACGCAACAATGACACAGTGTCTTCCTTCAGGCATTCGACCCCCACAACAGCAGTTAATCAGCTCAGGTTGTTAAGTGTTGGAACCCACGAAAGGAAGCTCACTTTGTCACACGTGAACAAAAACGAGAATGTACTTCATTTTATTCATTTATTCACTCATTTGTCAGAGAAATGACAGCGTGCTGCTGGTTGGATCGGCGCTGTCAGGAGGCTGCATGTCTCATTAGATCTCTGCTAGTTAAAACCAGCGAACAGATGTTGGGTCTAACAAAGGGCCTGTGCCAAAAACCAGTAATGGGATATGAGAGGGAGCCAGCTTGATGAGACGGACTGCCAGTCTGTCTGTGTTTAGTCTGTCTGACGCTCCGTCTGTCCCACTCTGCATCTGTCCCGCTGTCTATCTGTTTACCTGACAGTACAGGTGTCCATTTGAACTTCTGGAGAGACCACCTCCTAACATCAGATTTTAGAGCGGTGCAGTTTCATGATTAACATGAATTTGTGTTTACAGATTTTTTTTATTGTTTACATCTGTTTTCAGGTATTTTCTGTTGATTAGTTTGACTTTTCTTTACCCTTTTTTCAAGTCATTTTCTGTTTAAGTTTTTCTGGTTTTTCAAACGTTTATTGACCGTTTTTCATTGTTTGAATAAGGGATGATTTATTTGTGTTATTAGCATTGCACTGGTTCTTGCCACAAAAAGCAGATGCACATTGGATTTTCGAATATTGCGGAAAATAATATCTGTGGCAAGCACACATTTATGATACCTACACGTTTTGTTCAGCAGGATAATCCCCACATACAGCTAGCAATGGGGGGTCTCAAAGCTCCAAGCAATAAACACTGCACAAATCCTCTGTGGTGTCCATGTTTTTTCCATATAATGACTAACATCTCACAAACTGTAGTCTGAAATAGTCGGGGATCGACACCTGAAGGTGGACAGGCTCAGCCAATACATACTGGACACTAAAACATTTGGCTGTTCATCACGACACACCATCGCTCTGCCTCGAATCAGCTTCCTGTCTGTGTCGCACTCCGACAAACTTCCTTCCTTATCTCAAAGTTTTTAAAAGTCTAAATGCTGTTACCTTCCTTTCTTTGTAGATCCCCAGCGCCTTCTCCTTCGCTATCTTTGCCTCCTTCTCTGAAAGCAGAAGTAAGAAACAGTCTGAATACACAAACTCAGAGATAACAACATCAACACGACACAGAGGGAAACGCCGTGAGTTCAGCTGCAGATTTAGAATGAAATACTGAGAGGACGGGACATTTTGGGACGATTGTGGTGCTTTGGACAAGAAAAAAAAATACCTTTCTGCTCTTTGAGGTAGTCCGAGTTGTCCGCCATCCAGAGCGCCGTCTTCACTTTAATTTCAGTGTCACTCAGCAGGTACTGCAGAGAGGAGAGGGAGCGTCAGAAGAGTTAAAGTGGGACATTTGTTGTTGTGTATTAGGTCAAATGCTTTATCTCCTAATCTGAGTTGGAGATATTAGCCTGAGGGACATAGTGCTAAAAGGCAGCTCAACAGCAATGTCCAGAAATCAAGACCAGAATACTAAAGATAATATACTCATGTTGTTGCAAGGAGTTTCAGACAGTTTCTATCAAACTCCATGCATTAGGATTAGGATGCATGTACTCCTGGAGGAGAGGCTTCTCACAGCTGGAGATGAACATGAACGGCGTACTCGACTGAGCTGTAACATCAGCTAGGTTAGATATCTACAGATTTTGTATCTACAAAAAAATGCACAGTAACACACAGGTTGATATTTATTTTTCCTTTTTGTAGGTTTGTCCCACTACATTTTTATTAGATTAGATTTCGATTTTTATCATTAACTGATTTCACTTTGCTCCATTTTGTGAATCACTTTCTCACATGGCTTTGGAAATGTGTGTTTTAACAAGAGGAATCTTTCTTTTGAAATAACTATCAGATTTTGGAAATGTCCCTTCTAAAAGTAATAAATAATACATTCTTCTCAAGGTACTCCAAAAGATTCGTCTTTGCACTGTGATCACATTTATAACCAACGTAATAACCTGCTAATAAACAGACTAACATTATGAATTCAGCACACTAAGAGTTCCACACACTGACAAATGGGGTTTGTATTAATACTTTTAAATCATCTTGAAAGGGAGTTTAGTTAAACAGTGGAAGGGGGATTCCTGGATGTTGCATTTGAGGAACTTGTGTTTCCTTCTGTGTTGCTCTCTCATTAAGCAGGAGCTTCTCACCAGCTCTATCTCCGTGTCATCTATCCCACTCAGGTCCAGTTCCCCGCTTTCAGCATCGCCATCTGTCACAGACAAAATCAGAACGGACACACTTAGGACATTTGCTGTAATGCACATTTTCACGGCAGCTTCCCCGTCCCAGAGGGGGAGAAACAGGAAACAGCAGCTGGTTAGAGAAAAACATGCAACTCCAACATCCTGCTGCATCTCTTCCTCGTGGAGCATCTTCCATCGAGGGTTAATCAGCAAATAAAAACGCATTGTGACTTCTGATAAGACGTTAATAGGCTTAACTCGCGTTAAAGCCGATCTACCTTCAACACACTTTCTTTTCAATTACGATAAGCTCCCTAGATTGCAGCGCGCTTTATTTGGAAACAGGGGGATGCTGAAATGGCAATTTGCATTTGTCACGCTGCGACGCCCCGACTGCCGCTTCTACCTGCGCCTCTTTGCGATGGCGCTGATTGTAAGAGAGGAACAACAGCTTTTCTAATGTGTTGATAAAAGAAAGAGCTATTTGAAATCCCCATGTGTGCACACAGTTCAATTTTGGAAGAGAAATGTTCAAAGAAAATGTGATTGACTTTGATAAAGGAAACAAAAATGAAGGGAGCTTTGACTGTAGCAGAAAAACCATCAGTAGACATTTATCAGCTTTCACTCCAAAAGATCCTACACTTTGATTAGCAGTTTTGGAACAAAGTGCAACTCTTTCCCGGCTGCCTGCAGACATCAGATGGAGAAACATGTTTTAAAGAGACGCAGGTTTACAGGACTCGTTTAACTTCTGTCAGCTTTCTGCCTTTGACTCGTTCACAGGGGCCTCCTTCCTCCAGTTCAAACTCCCAAAAGCTTCAAAGACGCGGCACCTGAGAGCAGCTTTCCCCGTTTCATTAAGATACAGGTGCACCGGGGGGGGGGGGACTTTACTTTTTTACTTGTACTTTACTTGAGTATTTACATTTTTTGCTACCCAACTAAAATTCAGAGGTAAATCGTGTACTTTTACTCCTCTACATTTATTGACTACCTTTAGTTACTTTACAGAATTACATTAATAATGTGAAACATAATCAATACTTAAATAAGACTTTAGTTACACCTGTAGTAAATTCACCTGCGGTATACAAAGTCATTAAAACTAGCTGCACCTTTACCATCTTTGAACACATTAATCATTATTATCAGAGCATATGATATATTATTCTGAAATGGGCCAATCTGCGTAATAGTACTTTTACTTTTGGTACTTTGATGTTGCCAATTCTTTTGTACTTTTACCTGAGTAACATTTTGAATGCAGGACTTTTACTAGTAAGAGAGTATTCCTACACATCTACTTTTTCTTAAGTACAAGATCTGAGTTCTTCTCCCACCTCTGCAGACAGTAAAGGGTGTGCTTCTACAGCAGAGAAAGAGGAGAAGGTGAGGAAGGAGGAGGAGGGGGGGGATAATCTAGTCAGGGTTAAGTTAGCAGATTGCAGCTTCCTTAAAGAAGAAGCCACCGCAGAGGGAAGAGACAGGTCAGCCGCTATCTGTCGAGCGCAGCCCTCTAAGAGCTTCCTCTGCGTGAAGTGTGGGGGGGAGATAAGATGGAGACAAGCCCCGGGAGAGATTGGCAGCTGCGGGAGGCAGAGAGGCAGCGAGACTAAGAGCTGATAACACCCGTCCAACCCCAGAGAGGGAGGAGGGAGGGAGCAATTACCGAGTTATTATTCAGCCCGGCTTTGATATATCTACTCGGGCTAATTTGATCAAATGCATACAAATTGTTCTTGGTGAGCGTGCAGAAGAATGTGCAGACTGCAGACCTGAGGATCAGAGTCTTATATTGGCAGTCAAAGGTGGAGGTAGGCAGGAAGGTAGAGTTGGAGGAGTTATCTAATTATTTGTTGGTGTTTTTTGCATTCTGCACTTTGGAGCGTATAAAATAGATTTGGAAAAGTTCCATTTCTTGTAAGATGCAAGTTGGCTTTGCTTATTGAGGACAGAGGAGAAAAAAACATGGAATCTGTGCAAGTATGTTTTCAACTGGTTTTAGCAAGCCATCATTTCAATCATACTGTTCCACTTGTTCAACTAAATGTCTCGAAACCAGGGGTGTCCAAACTACGGCCCGGAAGCCATTTTGAATCGGCCCTCAGCAAATTCAAAAAGTATAATGATAAGAAAAAAGCCCAATAACTTATTTAAATAACAACCTTGAAATATACCCTTCCTATTTCCTCATGATAAGCAATCTAAGGCTTCTGTTCTAAGGAATGAGCTGCTAACAAAATAAATGAAACCCTATGGAAAGCTGTGATGTAGGCTGTTGCATCAAGCATTATTTACTTACATTTGATTGATTTAGCTAACTTATAACTTCACTTATGAGAAAATAAACCTAACCTCTAGTGAGTGGCCCAGACCTTCGAATATTTTTTTGTATGTGGCCCTCGGTGAACAACGTTTTGACACCCCTGCTCTAAACTGAACACATTTTCACTTAAAAAGGGGCCCTATTATGCTAATTTTGGAGAGAAACTCAGGGATGTTAGCCTCTGCAGATCATTTACATAAAAAACTATTCAAAGACACTATAGGAAAGGTAAAATCCCCCAAAAGTATAATAGGGCCTCTTTAAACTAATAATAATGAAGGACTTTCAAATGTGATTTAATTCTCAATGTTTTTATGAAATAACTAAACTTGCCGTTTTCTTGTCATTCATTGTTCTTGTTCATGACCAGTTTCTCTCCCTAATGAAACAATATTTGAAGAGATGAGATGGAAAATGAAATATATTTCAATTCCATCTGAAGGCCTGTCGAGAGATTTCTTTGTAAATTCATCAATAGAAACAACTACAGGTTTATCACACTTGGCATCACTCTGAATAAGAAGAAGTGGATTACAACATCTCATTAGCAGGATATAAAGTGCAAAGAAACCTGTGAAACCCAAACCGAAGCTCCCTGATGACCTTGTGTTTGCAGAGAAACTACTTTTCCTCTTTCTGTCCACACTGACAGCAGCGCGAGGTATTTCGGCTGCAACTCAGGAATTCACAACTCCAGCTCTGACTGCATATCAATACAGAATGTTTTCTTTTTTTTTTTCTTGTCTGAGGTGCTTCTGCTTTCCAACAGCAACTCTCTCTGGGACAAACCTCCAACCCCATGACCGAGGGAAGAGAAGAGTGATGGGAAAAAAGGCACTATGGGAGTTAAATATTTCAAAAGAAGGAGAGAGGAAAGATGGAGGACAAATGGGAACGGTTGTGAGCTTAAATTATCATTCCGAGATCTGGAGTTTGAATCATGAATATTCATCCATCGTACTGAATTTGAACATCTGAAATGAGTCATTCTCATTCGCGGTGTCTTTTAATGCAGTTTAGTTTTGGTTCATTTAGGACCACAGTTGAAGCCTGTCATTAAGTTTATCACACTAGTAATGGCAGTTAATATATGTAATCTGCACCTAGCAACATTTAGCAAAAGGAGAAGATGGACTCTGGTTTCAGACAGAGGGTGAAAAGAGGTGCAGCAGCACAGGAAGTATGAGACAAATAGCTTGTTGAACATTAAAGCATGGAGACATGTCACAGTAGAGGCACTAAATGCAAATATGAAACATTAAAAAAATAAGCATAATAGGGCCCCTTTAAAAACCTTCAAAACGTGGTGAAATGACCATAAGATGAACATTTTCTGTCCTAAAAACAAATCTCCGCCGTGTTTACTCATCGCTGTTTGTCAGTCCACCTCTGCCAGCATTTGATCAACATCTTAAGATAAAGATTGAAGAGATAGAAACAGTATTAATCTACAAAATGGCAACTTTTTAAGAATAAAAACACACAACAGAGCAATACATATAAGGAGTATAGGAAGTAATACATTCGCCAATGTAAAACAGTTTAGAAATAAGACGTGCATATGTCTTATAATTTACTGCAATTTCACAGAGTAACAACAGTTTTAGCATCTGCCGTCATTTGTTCACATTGGCCGATTCAGCCCCCGCAGTCTAAAAACATGCAAAGTTCAATTTCTTTTGGCGAGTACTGTCGGCCTGAAGATAGATCCAGGAAGAGACCATGGTCTCTTCCTGGATCTATCTTCAGGCCGACAGCGTAGCAGCGTTTTGATCCATCTGTAAGGAAAGCATAGCTGGCGTACCCTGAAGGTGTTAACTCTATCACCCTGCTGTCTCCTGCTCCTCAGAGACAAGTAACCTGACCCCAGATTTACCTCCCTACCCCTCACCTAGCGCTGCAGAAATACCCTTAAAAATCCCCTCCTGTCTCCCACACATCGCAGGCCTGTCTGATGTGGTCAGGAGAATCAGATGCTTCACTGCAGTCTCTGATACCAAAGAAGAAAACACAAAGAAACAGAGAAAATGTGCCCCGCAGGAATAGTGGCTAACAGGTGAAGGAGACGGCTTTTTGAAGGGGGCGAGGAGGGGGGGAGAACAAGATATATAAGGGAGAGGGGAGGGAGGGAGGGAGAGCTGACAGGTGAGAGATTGAGCCCAACAGAGAAAGAGATACAGAGATATTAAAGGATAAGGCCGCTGGTGCTTTTTATTTTCCTTGGTGTCGGGAAATCCAAGGTAAAGACCAAAACTAACAATGTGTTCAACTCTCAATACTTCCTGACTTCCTGTCTGTAGCTCTTTGTTTCTAAGCTCGATGGTTCCTAATGAAGATGTAAATCCCACAAATATATTGTTTTATTTCTTTAAATATGACCGTGGTTTTGTTATCCAACGTCAGCGACAAGTGAAATGAAAGTACATTTGTATTTCAATGATATCACATTTTTGATAAATCTGTCTATAACAAGTACAAAAAAAACTAATGTTCATCAGTTTATCAGAGTTTAAGGTATAGTAAACACTTCATTTGCTTCCTTTACGATTGTTAGAAGATAACTGTCACTTCTTAGTAGAAAGACTGAAAGCTTAAGATAAAAAGGTTAGATAAGAGATTTGCCAGCTTTTGTTGGAGCTTTGTGCGGCTAATGGGTGTGTTTTTTAAAATAGTTTTCAGACAGAAATTGAGCTATAA